ACGTAAGCCACCAGGCGAAAAACGTGAGCGTGCTGAGCGGCCACGAAAAGAACACGCTGAAAAGGAACAGGAGCGAATTGATATTGAACGCGATGTTACCACAGATGAAAATAGTTTATATTTTATAGTCCGCCATTCCAAGGCAGCAATAGCCGTAAGTGTACTGTGTGATATGTAGAAATATTTTTATTGACTGAACTCATTTTTAGAGCATTGTTGACGATTGGATAGAACAATATAAACAGAATAGAGATTCGGCTCTTATTTCGCTAATGCAGTTTTTCATCAACGCTAGTGGTTGCAAAGGAAAAATATCATCTGACATGCAACATCCAATGGAGCACACTGCTGTCATACGTAAAATGACTGAAGAGTTTGATGAGGTTGTGCTTGCATACCTACATATAAATGTAATAAAATCTGATAAGTTCTTGTGTTATATAGGAAAGTGGTGAATATCCTTTAATAATGTCGGGTCTGCAATGGAAAAAGTTCAAAATGAATTTTTGTGATTTTGTGCAAACGCTTGTAAAACAGTGTCAATACTCCATAATATATGATCAATTTTTAATGGATAATGTTATATCACTTTTAACTGGGTTGTCGGACTCTCAAGTGCGAGCCTTTCGTCATACAGCAACATTAGCAGGTTTGTTGCTACTAATAATTTTAATACAATAAAACCAAATCAATGAAAATATTTTTAACATAGCCATGAAGTTGATGACGGCCCTAGTGGATGTGGCACTTTTAGTTTCAAATAATTTTGACAATGCGGCTAAGCAGTACGAGGCGGAGAGAGTAAAGGTAATGCAATGCAATTTTATTTACACATGAAAATTATAATAAACTATATTTCAGTCACGTGATCGTCGTGCTTCAGACCGTTTAGAGTCCTTAATGGCAAAGCGTGCTGAATTGGAAGAAAATATGGATGAAATAAAGAATATGTTAACATACATGTTTAAATCCGTCTTTGTGCACCGTTATAGGTAATTTCATTATCTGCATCATATTGACATTTAACTTATACTGTTTCACTTTAAACTAGAGATACGTTGCCTGACATACGTGCAATTTGTATGGCGGAAATTGGGGTTTGGATGGAAAACTATCCACAAAACTTTTTAGATGACTCTTATCTTAAATACATTGGTTGGACTCTTCATGACAAAGTCGGCGAAGTGCGGTTACGTTGCTTACAGGCGTTATTACCGCTTTATGATAAAATTGAGTTAAAAGGCAAATTGGAGTTGTTCACCTCAAAGTTTAAAGATCGTATTGTTGCGATGACACTGGACAAGGAGTTTGAAGTTGCTGTACATGCAGTCAAACTTGTTATAAGCATACTAAAGTAGGTGGTGAATAAACTATTTAAATTATTCATATTTTTATTATATATATTTTAGAATACATCCTGACATACTGGCAGATAAAGATTGTGAAATTGTTTACGAACTGGTGTATTCTTCTCACCGGGGCGTTGCACAAGCTGCTGCAGAATTTCTTAATGTACGTCTATTTCATTTAACTGCTGATATGGAAGAGTCGAAAACCAGACGCGGAAAATTACGATTACCCAATACACCGTTAGTACGCGATTTAGTACAGTTCTTTATTGAATCTGAACTGCATGAACACGGTGCTTATTTGGTTGATTCATTTATAGACAGCAATCCGATGGTCAAAGATTGGGAATGTATGACGGACTTATTGTTAGAGGAACCTGGCATTAATGAAGAAGTTTTAGATAACAAACAGGAGTCTACATTAATAGAAATAATGGTCAGTAGTGTTAAACAATCAGCAACTGGTGAGGCACCGGTTGGGCGTGCAAGCAATCGTAAAGTCACACTGAATTCAAAAGAACTAAAAGCAATACAGGATGAAAAAACTAAATTAACTGAACATTTTATTATAACATTGCCACCTCTATTAGAAAAATATCAAGCAGACAGTGAGAAATTGACAAATTTACTTGCTGTTCCACAATATTTCGAATTAGATATTTACACTACAAATCGACAGGAGGCTAACTTACAAGCATTATTAGACAAAATAAGTTACATAATGTCAGTGCATACAGATCGTGAGGTACTCGAAGCATGCTCTAAAACACTTGAATATTTATGTACAGAGGGTAGTGCTACGTATACGCGTTGTGATGTAGCGCGTTCAAATATTATTGATACAACCGTTAATAAATATAAAGATTCCATTGACGATTGGCGTACGATTATTGCAGGTTTGTATTATTTATAAAAAAAAATAACTGTTTGATATTAATAAACTTTATATATTTCTAAAGCTACGGACACACCAAATGAAGATGAAATTCACAATGTTATTATATCATTGAAAGTTGTATCTATATTATTTTCATCACACAACTTAAACCCTTGGAGTTTGTTTGACTCACTATTTCAAGATGTGGACGAAATTCAATCAAAGAATAGCGAAGAAGTACATATACCTAGTGAAGCAATTGTGTATTGCATAGAAGCTTGCTACTATTCCATAAGTTGGGGTCTATACTACTTGGAAAATCAATGTGAAAAATCCAATCTTGAAGAAAGTACCGCCGAGTTAAAGTCCCATTTGAATAAATATATGGCAGCGTGTTTCGAATTAACACGTGATGGACCTACAGAACCCATACAAGAAGCTGTAACTAGCATAGAATTTTTATATTATATCATTAATTATTTTACTTATGTTGGTATTTGATTTTTAGGCTTATCAATCGATTTGTGATTTACTAATTGTATTTTCGGATCAGTTATGTCGGCATGACATGGAACCGCTTCGCACATTAGAATATAAATCCACATTAGATGAACAACTGATTTTAAATAATTTTGTACAACACTATGTATTTTCGTTAAAGCAAGAGGGTTAGTAATAGTTTTGGAATTGTTTTAAATACAAATAATATAATTTTGTAAAATATTTAATAGTTGTTCAAGATGAAACGCGTATCGAAGAACTGCATAAAAAGCGCAATTTCCTTGCCTCATACTGTAAACTTATCGTATACAACATCATACCAACAAGAACTGGTGCTGGTATATTCAAATATTATGTTAAAGTAAGAAATCTTTGGTATACATAAATAATATTTTAATTGATGTAAATAATGGTTTCAAGACTGATTTCCTATAAGTGTCTTATTTTATAAAAAAAAGTTAATTATTAAATAATACACTTTTTTAAAAAATAAATTTTAAAAATAATTTTATTTACACCAATGTTTTAACTATATTCTGTAGTCATCTTCATGGTTTTTATCTTCAGTTAAGATGATAATAAAATGACATTATAAAAACATCATAATATTACCCTGAAGATGACTATAGTATACGGTCAAAATATTGGTTTAAATAAAAAATGTATGAGAAACTAATTTTTAAAAAAATGTATTATTTAAGAATTCACCAGTTAGCCCGTTTCAAAAACAGAATTATTAATAAAAATCTTTATTTTCCATTTGCAGTGTTATAATGAATATGGAGACATCATTAAAGCAACTTTGGGCAAAGCTAGAGAAATTAATAAAATTAACTTTGCGCTTACATTACTTTTAAGTTTAATTGCAATCTTCAAAGATTTACAACAACAATCAGAAAATAATAGCGTTTCGCGAAATTCTCATGAATTTGCGGATTTAAAGGAATTGGCTAAACGTTTTGCATTGACATTTGGCTTTGATGCCATTAAAAATCGTGAAGCCATAGTTGCAGTGCATCGTGCCGGTATACTTTTTGCTGTCGGAGAAGTATCCGATGACCCTGTTGCGGCACCAATTAGATTACTGTTTCTTGAAGTTCTTAACGAATTCAACAACAAACTCTTGAAACAAGATAGAAAAGTGATTTACAATTTTCTTGAACGCCGAATTTCACCTGGTATGCCATCGAGCAGAGCTGAAGAATGGCAGCCATTGGTTATGTATCGTAATGCATTATTACATGGTGAAACAGATCAAGCACCGGCAACTACAAAACGTGCTTACACTAAAAAACGACGAGATCATGGTGAGTAGAGATTTATGATATTCACTTTTCAAAGTATACATAAATCAATTTATTATAATTATATAGATGATGATGACGACGAGGAGGATGAAGAAGAAGAACATAATGATCCAGATTACAGAGCTTAATATGTTAATATAAATAAATATGTATGTAAAATTAAACAAAATTATAAAAAAAAAAAATTTAAAAGTATTAAAAGCATGACATTAAGATTAAAGATGATAATATTGGCCACAGGAAATTCGTAACAATTCGAGGGAAGATTTGAAAGTGTAAAACACAATGGTTAAGTAAGGTTGGATAGGCAGTTGCGCACAACAAATAAACGTTGCGATACAACGAATAAAAGTTGTGATACCACGAGTAAACGTTGTAATACGACTAAACGTTTTAATACAACGAGTAAACATTTTAATACAACGAGTAAACGTTGTGATACAACGAGTAAACATGTTCGAACGCTAGGCTTATGTTATACCACTAGATATAGAGACTGAAATTGTTAGTGCATTGATAACGTTATAAAACATTATTGACATAATCATCAACATCAGTAGTTCCTGTATCTCCCATTGGAGCATAGGGCCTCAAAAATGGAGAAGTGATTTTAAGTAATAAAAACTGAGTTAAACCGATATCCAACTGCAGAAATGCTTACTTCTTTATAAAATAGAGCAATAGATTATAGAATAGCGTTGCTAAAGTGAGAATAATATTAATTGTATTCACAACTCAAAGATGGTTACTAAAAAGAGTGGCGATTGAAAGTTGTACGCGTAGATGTGGTAATAGCTGTAACTTTCTGCTATTGTTGTAGATCGCTTTAGGAATGGTGAACTGCAATTAGTCATCAAAATTAACAAGTGGCTTTGGGACGTATATCCGGTCGCTACTAGAACCTCATTAACTTTCTCTTGTTAAGCGGATCAGTTGTGAGATGGAAGGAATTACTGGAAAGATTTAAGTCTAGGAAACTATTGCTTAGTTTGAGCTAATGAATATAAATTAAATTTTATACTTTGAACAGTGGCTTATTAAAAAGTAAGGTGCTGTTGGAGTTTAAAAAATATAAGACCATAACTTTTCATAGTTATTGCTTAGCTGTTTACAATTAAGTATTTATATTCAGTATTATCTTTTAGAATATATTCTGACTGTATATAAAATTAGTTACAAATATCGGGAATAATTATATTTTATATACATCTTTATAGTTTCTTTAAAATCAGTGGGCAATTGTAAGTAAAACTCAAATAGCTAATTATCCTAGAGTATTTATTTTGTCTTCAAAATAATCTCCCTCTTGAGACACACACAAATGGTATCGTTTAATCCACTGTTTAAAGCAGTATTCAAAAGCCAATTTGGGTATGGCATTTAACTCCTTAAGTGCATTCTCTTTCACCGCATCCACTGTCTCAAAACGCTTACCACGAAGCAGCAATTTAAGTTTTGGAAATAGAAAAAAATCACTTGGTGTCAAATCCGGAGAATACGGTGCTTGTTCGATCATATTTACTGAGTGGTTAGCTAAATAATTTCGTACAATATATGATTTCCAATTATCATGATGCAGAATCCATAAATTGTCTTCCCACAAATCTGGACGTTTAAGACGAACATTTTCTCTCAAACGTTGTAAAACAGACAAGTAATATATTTGATCAAACGCCTGATCTTGTGGAAGAAACTCTGAGTGAACAATACCATGACAATCGAAGAATACAATCAACATTGTCCTAACTTTTGTACGACTTTGTCGTGGTTTCTTGCTTATTGGCTCACTTTCAAACAACCAATCCGTTGATTGCTCATTTGTATCAATATCATATTCATACACCCACATCTTATCACCCGTTATTATTCGCTGAATGAATGTCGTGTCTTCAGAAGATTGAAATATCATATCCTCTGCAATAGCTTTGCGTTGTTCCTTTTGCATGAAGGTCAACAGCTTTGGCACAAATCGAGTAGAAACGCGTCGCATACCCAAAACATCGGTTAAAATGGTACGTGCTGATCCGGTGGAAATGCCAAGATCAGCAGCTATCTCTTTCTCACTCACACGACAATTTTGAAGCACCATTTTCTTCGCTTTTTCTACATTTTCGTCGTTAGTTGATGTGGATGGACGCCCAGAGCGAGGTAGATCCTCGGCTACGGTACGGCCCTCTTTAAATGATTTGTACCATTCATATGTTCGCGTTTTGGACATACATGATTCTCCATAGGTTTTTTTTAACATTTTGTAGGTGTCTGAACAGCAAATTTCGTTGGTAAGACAAAATTTAACGCAAATCCGTTGTTCCATTAATGTTGACATTATAAAACCGCGAAAAAACCCTTCAAAACTTAATCAAATAATTTGTGTAAACAAACTTAATGTCAGATGGCACAAAAATTTATTATGGAAGTTGCCAAGTCTTCCCATTTATAAAATATTCTACTTTGGGAAATGATGGATATTTTGAATTATTTTATGAAAAAATTTAAAAGCATTTGTTATAAATGAATTATGTGGAGTATTAATATAAATCGTTCATTTATTTTAAATTAATAGAGCTAATGTTAACAATGATATTAATAAATATAAAAAGTTGCTATACAAAATACTCCCATTATTTAAAGGTAAAAGTCATATACAGAAGATTAATTCAGCCTTATACTTTGTTTCCACTGTTTACTTAGTAAGTTACTTAAGTAACTTTGAGCTTTTGTCGTTTACATTGGTACAAGTTACTTAGGGCATTGTACTCTACTTACACAAACTACTGTGTGGCACTCTGCATGAAGCTCTAACATTTATTTATATATATTACTTAACATCATATGGATGGATGTTAAGTTTTTAAATTATCTTCGCGCTACGGACAACAAAATGTCATCTAATTATTTGATGTTAGAATTTTTATAGCTAGCGGAGTTGAAATAATGTTTGCCTTTAGGTCTGCGCTTGTAGGTAATGTAGTCTCGAAGCACACACTTTTTAAACACTCGAATACGGACCAAACCAAAAGGTTTGATTTGTACGTTTAGCAGATTGTGTCAATTCAGAGCATTTTTAAGCTCAAAGAGTACAAGAGTGCTTGATAACATGACTAACGTGTGGAATGGAATTGTGTTAAGAAGTGAAAACAACTTCCATTTATAAAGTTTATGACGATTTATAACTCTTGAAACATTTGTGTTTTACACCAAGTCAGACAATTGTCGAGATTTTTCAAGGGTTGAGTTTAATTTTCACATATTCTAATACCTGGAGAGGGAGTTAAGATCATTGCGTAAATTACGCAATCTTTGATAAAACAAACTTACTCGACGTTTCGAGGAGGGACAGAAATGCCCAAAGTAAAATTATAAAAATTTTACATTTAAACAAAGTTTATATATCATTTTTTGTTTATAATACTGACAGATGTCTAGAGTTTTCGAGATATTTACGTTGTATTGTGAACGTAAGTTTCTGGATCTCTGTTCTTAAGTTTGATTTAAAAATCATGAACTAATTGATTATGAATCTATTTAAACCCTAAGAGACAAATGCAGTCTATAGCAAGAAAATAAAACTAATAGTATTTTCGGTTAGTCAGTCTGGAATTAATCTAGGCTTAATCTTGATCTTTCAAATTTTGTTGCCCAGTCGAATGTTGTTAGAGTACATATAAAATTACTGTAATTTTTCATAAACACATTTGTCAAATCAAATCACACTCTGTAAAGTTAAATAAAACAGCTGTGAAATTCAAAGCAATTTTGCTTCTATGGCGAAGTATCTAGGGTGTTATAAATTAATCTCGAGTGTTATACATTTTGCTCAAGACACCAAAAAATTATACATCAAAACATTTATAAAAAATTATTGCAACCCTGCTTATTGACTGTCAGTCAATAGCAGTGCTGCCAAATTCGACAAATTATCTTAGCGCGAAAAGCTGCAAGTAGTTTCATGAGAATTTTGTTTGTATATAAGCGGATCGCTTTATTAAGTTAACTTAAAAATGTCGGTTGAAACTGAAAATATAATACTGCCAAAAACATTGGAGGAGTTCACAGAAACTGACAGTTTATGCGATGCATTGAAAGATCCAACATTTTTGGCCAAAGTCCCATTGTTAAACTATACGCCTTTGCACAAACTCAAGAACCATGCTTTAGTGCGTTTTCGTGGCATGATACAAGATATGGTGGATCCAGAAATATATTTAGAAAAATACGAAGTAAAGAGTGATAATGGTGACACCAGACTGCAATGTGGAAAATTTCGTGACACTCTTGTTATGAAAAACGGTGAAAACGTCAATTTTGAATCAAATGCTAATGTGCATGGAGAAAGACGTACACTTTTTGTTGTTTCAATACCTGGTTTAAATGAATGGGCCCAAACTTATGAATCAGATTGTAATAAACAAAATTTGGAAAGCGCAGCGAACGCAAAAAGTAGTGAAAATGCGACTTCAAAAAAACGTGCTTTTACAGATGAAGGATTACTTATGGAAACAGAAGATATACCGTCTACAGGTATAAATAATAATACTGTTAATGGAACAAATAAAAGACAGTGTTTGGAAAGTGAGACCATAGCTAACACAGAATCAAAAAGTTCGCTAATTGGAGTTCAATACATGTTGAACTCCCCTATACCTGAACGCCCTAGTTTAGCATGCATGGTTAAAATATATAATGATCTTGAAGATTATATTCTAGATACAGTAATTGATGCCGTCGGTTTCTTGTCCGTAGATCCATCTTTGGATGGTACCGCAATGGATACTGACGAGTGTCAGTACATTAGTGCAACAGAGTTGCATGCACAGAATCCACCACCTTCGATTATACCACGTTTACATGCAATTGTTGTGCATAGATTGCGTCATTGTAATCCCTTGTTGGACGAGCGTATTTTAGCATTAAAGCCACATCCAATAGTAGATGCTGTTAATGCATTCAAAGATTTGCACAGGATGTTAACGTTGTGCTTGTTCAATGATTCATTAGCAGCAGACTATCTCATTTCACATCTAATATCCACTGTGTAAGTTATAAGCTAATCTTTATAATATATAATAAAAATATAAAAGAACTTTCTTTTGTTTAGATATAATCGTTCGGAAGGGGAAAGTATTGGTAAATTTTCTTTGAATATCTATAATTTTCCGCAGAAAGATTTATCTACATACACGGATAAGTTATATAAAATTTTAGAACTACTTCTGCCAGCAAGCCATTATCTGCCAATGACCTTGGATAACATCAACAACAGTACATTTGTACCCAAGTAAGAACTTATTTTTTTATACTAACATAGTGCACTTAAGACGAGTATTGAAATCGTTCGCTATTGCTCCAGATATTAGTGGCAGGCGACATATGCAAACGTAGCGTAGATTAAAAG